GGAGAAAAAAAAGTTAAAAAGTACACCCTAGAGCATGAGGGTGGGTTATCTTGAAGGCAAACACTAGTGAGAGCTCAGTGATGCCTATTTTGTGTTTTTTGTTTTTTTCACATTTCCCACCCTGGCCTTACATTTAGGTTATCCTATCAAAAAACTGCTGGAGTTTCTGAGAGAAGTCCACAGGCAGGGCTTTGAGAACTGTTCTGTGCACGTGTCCTGGGATTTCTGTAATTAACAGGCTACACCTGCTTCCCCAGCTAGTCTGTCACACTCCCCTGGGATTTTGTAATTAGCAAGTCATGCCTGCTTTCCCAGCTAGTTTTAGCCATGCCCCAGGCTCCTGTCTCACTATGGATGAAGGACTTGGACACTTTAGTTTTTATTCAGTCACATATGATTTTTGACTGGGAGGATCCAACAAGTCGTACAGTGAGAAACTTTTCAAGAATGGGCTTTATGAAGCTGGGTGTGGTGGCACATGCCTGTGATCCCAGTGCTCAGGAGGCTGAGGCAGGAGGATTGCCACTCATTGAAGGCCAGCCTGGGCTACAAAGTGTTTTCAAGGCCAGCCTGAACTACACAGTGAGACCCTGTCTCTCATCCAATCTCCTCCTTCAAAGGGTATTGTTTTTGATTGGGAGTTTATATAGGGGGAGTATTTTTTGCCTTAACTCTCAGATGACTTCAGGGGGTATTTCTGTGAGGAGGGCCAACTGCAGGTTCCAAGCCTGTTCAGGCAGAACCTCAGTGTTAAATTAAACTGGAGAAAAGGATAGGCTTGAGCACTTAGTTTACATGGGTGATCTCATCCCAAAAAAAGATTTGGGCACCTTGGCTTATCCAAGAAGCTGTTAGGATGTTATCCTAGAAGTAGCATTCCAAAGCTTCCAAGAGGGGGCAGGCCTACATTTTGCCTGGGCAGGTGGTCTGTGAAATTTCTTATGCCAACTTAGTATCTAGTGCTGAACGGGAATGAATTAAATTCCTAAGTCAAGAGTCCACTGTATTTTATTCCCTACTGACAGTTTTACTTGGGGTGTCTGTAAAACTTGTATCAGATGTAAGGGGCCCCCTGGGGTCCTTCCTGTACTAGAATAATCCTCTCTCTCCACCATCTTTGAGCCCCCAATCTTTCCTTTTCCCTTCAGCTGATCTGGGGGTGGCTTTTAGAACAACTTGTGTCTAACTTGGCCACACACAAATTCCCTCGTGTAAGTCACAAACTTTGTGTGACTTGCTCAGACCCTTTAGTTTTATCCTTTTCACCCATTTTGGAATAATTCAGCCATTCAAGCAGAGGAGGAAAAAATCATTTTATTGTACAAAATCTTTATCCAAAAAATTCTCTCTGTAACCTTCCTCACCAAAAATACATCCTCATTCTTAAAACTTTCTTTCCATCTCTATTTGTTGGTTGCTTTCTCCGTTGTCTTTCTTAAAATTAACATTTTGGGGGCTGGGGATTTAGCTCAGTGGCAAAAAGCGCCTGCCTGGCAAGCGCAAGGTCGTGAGTTCGGTTCCCGGTACCGGAGGAAAAAAAAAACAAAAACAAAAAAAAAAACACAACATTTTGAAACAATCCTTATAAAACCTGCATTTAGAGAAAATCACATTTTTTCTCAGTAGTATGTGTGTGTGTGTGTGTGTGTGTTTTACAAGATTTTCAAGAACAAGTTGCTAGAGCAAAGTAAGCATCTGGTGATCAGCAAGGCTAAAAATGGTGGGCTGAGACCTTTGTAACACAGGTTGTAGGCTCTGTTTATCTTTAGGAGGAAGACCTGGTAGCTGGTACCTGTTGCTTTGCACTGCTCATGTAAACAATGGGCAAGGGCTGTGTGTGCAGGGAGACGCAGGCCCTTTCCAGCGCAGCCAGAAGCCTGAGGACTGCTTACCTGTGTCTGTGTAATCAGGTTCGCTTTCAAACGATGTTAGAAGTCAGCATCATTTTCATGGTTCCCGCGTCTACTTACGAGTGCAGTCTTGTTATCTTTGCACCTTTCCGCATGCTGTCTCAGTGGTTTATCTTCTCAGCATCCAAGTAGCCATTTCTTAGGCACACTGACGCTTTAAAGCCCATGATGACCAGTATTACTGTTCTCATTGGCCAAGGCTGCCCCCGTTTGTGCTCTTGCGTATCAGCTGCTTTTTTTTTTTTTTTTTTTTTTTTAAAGAGTAAAAGAAGGATAACATAATAATAGGGGGGACTTAGCAAATTACAGACAAAATGATAGGAAATTATCAATGGTTATTGTTTTACATATTGTTATCTACAAAATAGTTTCTCAGGAAAACAAATAGACAAATAATAGTGAGTTAGAGACAAAAGAGGTAGGAGATTATCAAGAGTTGTTGTACTAT